GAGACAGAGAGAGAGACAGAGAGAGGATCCAACTCCCCAAAAACCTGTATCCTAAACCCCAAACTTGAAACGAAACAACACCAGTCGAACAAAACTAAGCCGAATGATTGCTGCCCGGGAGTCGAACAGATCCGCATCCAATCTGAAGGGAATGGCCATCATGGACAACTGGACGGATCGCCTTTGCTCCTCTGCAGCCTGGCTTTCATTCTGCTTCTGCTCGGCTGCCTGCTTCTGCTTGTCCTTCTCCTCTTGCTTCTTTGCCTCCTTCTCACGTCGGGTCCTCGTCTTCTTCAGGTCCGTCACCGCGACCCGCACGCTGGCGATCAGCTCGCCGGTCAACTCTTTCTGGGTTTCAAGCAACTTTGCCTTCTCGTCCAGATCCTCCACAGTCTTAGCCAGCTTCACCTCTGACAACTTGGCTGTAAAGTTGGACTGGGCCCACATATCATTGTCGCTAACGATTGGAAAGGCCATCTTCAGCAACTGCTCCTTGAGGAACGCTTGGTGATCCACATCTGCTGTCAGGTTCACGTACTTGTTCTCACCGGCGTGGAAGGAGGCACCGCACCATGCCCAGCCTGCCGCAACTCTCATCTCGCACTCGACCTTAAAGTCACCGTCGGCTTCGACAGCACCCGAAAGCTGGTCCATGCCATCGGCCAAGAGGGTCCGCAGCCTTGCTTTGCTGGTTTGAACGAATTAGAAATTTAGTTCTCAAAGCTTGGAAACTGCAAGGTCGGAGCTTCGCGAGTGTGGACTGTAGACTGCAAACTTCAAAGCTCCAAGCGTTAATCAATCACAGCATACATTGGCCCACGTGGCACATAAGACATAAGCATATATATCTGCAGGTTGCACGTCTATGACTCTCCTGCATATGCAAGCGGGCACAACCTGGAGACGAGACTGGATGTTTCCGTATTCACTGCCAGGCTTCTTCTTTCAATAACATGGCCTTGGACTTAGCAAAATGTGGTGCGCATACGTCTGGTTTGTTACGGCGGCCCTCTCAGAGGTCAAAGCTTCAGGCTTGAACCTTCCAGCCTTCCAATATGAGGGGTCATGCGGGGTGCGGTGTGGAGTATAGTATGAGTAGTATCAGTCTCAATGTATGCTGCTCGTCCCATTCTCCGCAAAGGCACACGCCACCTGAAAGGTTACATGTTCCTTGGGAAAACGGTCAGAGGCTGCCTTCATGTGTCATGGCTGAGATGTCATCGCAGGGGGACTGACATGTAAGGGCTTGCGCGGCAAAGTCCTGGAACCTAGATTCGAGATTCTAGAGGCGTTGATACTTCCATGGGCTAAAGATTCGGGACCTCATTTGGTCCTCAATGCCAACCAACAACACTCCAGCTACAAGAAGAATCTGGCTGGGAGCTTCCTGGACAATACCTCAACGTCGCGGGTGATGTCGGCGCTGATCTTGTTGCGCTTGGAGCCCAAGTCCACCCTTCGCCTCTTGGTGTCCTCGTTCGTGCCCTCGGGGTTCTGCTTGTCAGGCACCCTCTTGTTCTCAGCGCCCTGTGGCTCGAAATCCTTCTGGCGTCGATCAGACTGCAAGAACCGAGAGTTGAAGAAGTCGGCCGCGGTGCTACTGTCCTCGCTGCCGCCGGATCCCGTTGCAGTGGCAAAGATGCTGCTGCTGGGCAAAGCGGCGGTCCACTCCTTCTGCCCCTCAGCCTCAAGGCCTTTTGCCAAATCCTCCGCGATCTGATCCATTTCCTCCTGGCTCACATTCTTTCTCTCCTTGCCTTGGTTCAAAGTCTTCAAAGGATCTTGGAGTCTTGGAGCTGGTATGGACAGCTCAACTCTAAATTGGCAAAAACTCACAAAACAGTTTCATACTACATTTACGACACTACTACATACAGACTTACCAACTCGGAAATGCAACGGTTGCCAGACAATACGAGTGCAAACAAAGACTACTACAAACTTCCACCACACCAGCCTTTTCACTGCATCCAAATGCTACTAGGTCTTCTGCAACGTCTATGTTACTATGTTGCAGGCTGCTGGTGGCAACCGTGTTGTTATTGTGTTGCTGCACGCTTCTTCTACTGCTAGCTGGCCGGGTCGCCTCTTTGCTCGATCTCTCGCTCCTGGTATGAGGATTGCTTGTTCTCGTAGAAGTCCTTGCCTAGCAAAAAGGCGGGGATTTCCAGCCGCAGCCGTGAGTGGGCCGGGCCACCCTCATCTCTCCTGGTCTTTGGGTCAGCCCGCAAGGCTTCCCAGTTTTCGTAGGCCTGTCGGAGAGATGGTTCTAGATTCTTGGGACGGGCTGCGGTTAAGCGGTAAAGCAGGGGCTTCTTGGGCTGCAGTCTCTGCACGAAGAAGCTCAAAACACAGCTGCTGATGTCTGGAGCTTGCTGCCTTGTGACATTGTGATCGGCCTGCCCCCTTTAGATGGGAAGGTGGAGGAGTGCCTGTGGTTTGAAGTTTGAAGACACTCGTGATTTACTTACTGAGCTCAGTCTAACATAGTCCCAGGATCCAAAAGACGAATGTCCACATGCTTGGTTTCGCTGGGTTCCACGGCGCGCGCTAAATGCTTAACAACGGATTGAAATTAAAACAATGCGAATCTGTGATAAACTTCAAGTTTGCACTTGCAAGAGTTCCACGATGACAAGATGGTTCGCCATAGAAAATGCGACTGATGCTCGTCCTTCTCCACATCTGCCGGGTATGAGGCCCCAGGGATTGGTTTCAATGCATACCCGATGACTCGCACTGGAAATGACTCTTTAAACTCGCATCTTATTTCGCCCTGTCGCCTTCTGCTTGGTCCAATTTCTCTTCGTGGCCATTTTGACGGAAAACAGCTCATAGTCCAAGAGCGGGTTCTGGGAGACGCTGTTCTTCTCGGCTCGCGCGCCCCTCTTCCTGCTGTAGTGGGTGAGGTCGAGGCTACCCCTTTGTTTCTGGCCCCGCCTCCCCCCTGGAAACTGCCGGCAGTAGTCACACAGCACTTGAGCTTGCAGCTCTTCGTTTCCGTTCTCCTCCACGGTTTCGCCAGACTCAGGATCGACGTAGGACCCCCCAAAGACCTCCACCCAGGCGATCCACTTGGGTCCGCAATCTTGTTTCTGCTCCTTGGCCTGCCGGTACAGCACGTCCCAGGCCCTCTTGTGGTCCAAGCAGTAGGCGTTCTTCGGCTCAGCCTTCTCCTCACAGACGGCGCAGGTCTTGTTCTTGTTGTTGCTCGCTGTTTCTTTGGTCTTCGGCTTGACCTCTTCTGCCTCTCGCTTGTCCTGGGTTACCAAGGTTTGCGTGGTAGTGTCGAACTGGAAGTGGGTGGGGCCTGAGGAGTCCATGCCCAGGTGTATGCCCGTCACGGACACAAGGAAGGAACGGAAATCCGAGTGGGTGGGCGAGATGCTGCTACTCAAGTCTTCCCTGGATGGACAGGACAAGCAACAACAAGCCTGAATCTTCCCCACTTGCTCGCTGCAGCTCTAAAATCAGGGACGCGGCTGTCAATCTGCAGCAATGCATGTCAACACAATATGCCTGTTAGTGCTTGCTACTCTCGCAATCCGCAACTTCCATAGCTTCTATCAGATTCTATAATACTATAAACCAGCATGACGGAGAGCACAAAGAGGCTATTTCTGTCTGAGTAGAGTAGTCCTCTCATAGCCTCATAGCAGCACACGGGTGAAAGTTCATCTTCTTGCACCGGAATTCTCTGGCTCCAGCATCAGCCTCCAGAAATTTCTCATACATACTTCTAATAGCTTCTAACAAGGTGAAGATGTCCCAATCCACACCTGAGATGCACTGGTCACCGTTCTTACAACTCGAAACCTGCTTCCGAAAGGAGGCCTAGGTGTGGAATGGCATGATTTCAGGATGCTTGCAAGCCAACAGTCCTAGAGACCGACTCCCTGCCGACACTGGGAAGCCAAGCTAAGAATCGTGAACGGCGAGTCTTCCAGACTCGCTGTCGCGAACTAACTCACTCGCAAACCTCAGCAAATCAAACGCTCTCAAACTGGAAACCATCATGCGACCGCATCCTCTTGAACATCATGCCGATGTCTTCGAACTGGAAGCTAGTCGACCGCTTCGGCGGCTGCTTCTTAAAGTTCTGTGACTCAACTGGGCTGTCTCTCCTTGTCACTGCCAGCGTGCCCTTGTTGAAGGAAAGCCTCATACTCGCAGACGGCGATGGCTGCAATCGATCTCGGCGAACGATGTTCCCGAAAATGTACATGTGCCATGCTGACATGGCAGTGAGATGCATGCCATTCCCTAGGAGGCTTCGTTGCAACTGCTCTGGCAACTCGCTCATGCTGCCTTCATCCACAGCCAGGCACCCTGCATACCTCTCGTACGCTGCTGTTCCCGGAACAGGAAACCCCTGGGATGCCTCGAGATCGTGCTTGACGAAGAACCTCTCGCTTGTGAGCGAGTAGAGTAGGGTGGAGGAGAGCAAGGTGGGCACCAGCGCTGACATCCTCTTTCTTTCCATGCTCTGGGAGAGGTCTACAATGCAGCATCGTGCCATGTCGCTGTCAGGCGGCAAGGCCATCCACAACTCCCTGTACTTCTGCAAGGAGTCGGCTGCTCCTGGCGCTAGGATCTTCTCTGCAGGGACCATAGCACCTGTGCACTTTTCTGGAAGGTGGAGCCCTCGCTTCCGGGCCAATGATCTTCTGCTCTCGTATTCTTCACCTGGGCACTGGCCCAGGAAAACATCTCCGAGGCAAAATGTGGACTGGCAGAACATTCTCAGGAAGTCTTTTTCCACATCCTTGCTCGCCGGACCCACCCAGACGTGGCTGCTCAAATTGATGCAAGTTTGCAGAAGGCGTCGCCGCCTGCAGGGCCAGCCGAGGTCTTCAGGTCCAAAGGCTGCCTGCAGAACCAAGAACCTGGAACCCATGCGTTCAGGTAGCAGATCCCTTGGGAAAGCTGCAGCATTCTCCAGAGTCACGACGTCAAAGTTTGCACTTTTCGCATGCGCTATGAAGATTGACATGGACTCACTATGCTCCGAGGCTAGCCCTTCGTGGAGACCGAATGGACTCCACGGAGTACACATGGATCCCCCCACCAGCAATGACAACTCACGCGTCGAGTGGCATCTCTCGCTCTCGAACACGAGCGGGCAAGCATGTCCTCGGGCTCTGCACTCTGGTTTGAGGCATGGGCTTGTATGGCAATGCAAGTCATGCAGGTGACTTTGGAGGTACTGCCACTGCTTCGCATACGCACAAGCCTTCTGGGACGGTGTCGCTGTCTTCTCAGGCCGCATCCTTTCCAATGCCCGAAGATGTTCCGCAGAAACTCGGGACTGGAGGCTCCCGAAGACATGATCAGGAGGATGCTGGGTCTCTAGAGCAATCTGCTGGCAATGCTCGGCTATGTCTGAGCTCCTGTGCCACCGGATTGTGTCTGGCACTTGACATCCAGCTGTCAACAGGGCAACGAAGGACATGTTCAAGGCCGATTCTGAACAGCGTCGGCCACTAAAGTCCGTGTGTCCTACAACACCACGGCCTACAGCCTGCTCTAAGCGAAACAGCATCTTTGGATTCTGCTGCATCGTCTGCACCAAAGCAGCTGGCCAGTCAGCCAGTTCTCGCACGCTCTGCAAGAGGGGAGTGCTGCCATGCTCGACCATGACGAAGCTGCTGAAGATGCAGCTTGACTGCTTCACTTGGAAAAATCTCTAATCTTCTTATGTCTTATGACCTGTAACTTATGACATATACGATAAAATATATAAATAAATAAATAAATAAATAAAATATATATATATATAAGACAAATATGATAATATATGACCTGAAGAGTCAAGGGCCAATTGACGGAAAGAGTCCAAAGGCTTCTTGTCCTTTCCATTAAGTCTACTTATGTCTGATATGTAGCATCAATGACAAAACTGCCCAAGCCTAAGCAGTGTTTTCTGCTACACAGAAAAATTGCGACTTGGAACATGATAGGTGTGGACTTCCCAGAGGGACAAAGCAACAAAAGCACACATTTTGGGAATCTAACCTTTGACTCTTTGACACCTCAAGCACTTGCGACTTGAGCCTGCGGCCTTTGTGGCAGCTTGATGGACGGCAACACCAAATTGCCATGTGCTCCTGCCAACGACCTTCTGCTTCTCTAGACTCTCTAGATTGCAACGCACTGACAGCATGACAAGCGCACACCTACATCTGCCTTTGGTCTTTAGCAACTTTAGCAGACTTTAGCAACTGTCCCCAGAGTGATGCAGCGGGGGTGGGCAGTCGTCCACCTTCACACTCCTGCTGATTGCTGGGTCTGGATGTCCGGCGGCAACTGTTGGGTGCTCACTAGGAAGAACATCCGGGGCGTCCATCAGTAGATCCTGGGTCCTGGGCTGATTTAGATTTATGCCATTTATGCGGGGCCTCTAGTGATTGACGGTTATTTTGTGACGACTCAGACCAAAGGTTGGGCACTAGGGTTGATGATGTAAATCCTGCATTACCTTATCTGGACCATAAGCTATAGGGAATTATTTCTGGTATATTATTATGGGTGACGCAGGATTTCTATCATCAACCAAATAATGGAATCGGTTCTTTCGGCCTAGAGTCTACCGGGCGCTGTCAAGATCGCCGCTATCTTCCTTCTTGACATATTGGGGGCTATGAAATCTTGACTATGGAATGATGGAATCCGACTGCATTTGCTACTGCCAGCTGGGCGTCTCTCTTGGGTCTGAGCAGAGCATCTTTCCTTCATCAAACCCAAGCCTGACTTGTTTAGAGCTTCAGGGGACTAGTAACTAGGGTTATAAATTATACATACCCTAAATCTAAACTCTAAATGGGGAGACCTAATTAATATAAGTGGATCTAACTGAGACAACTATAGTTACCTTATTTGCTTAGGCATAACCCTACTTACTAAGTATAAGTATAAGGTTATGCTGAGTTATGCCTAACCAAATAAGGTAACTATAGTTGTCTCAGTTTACTACTTATTGTGTCCCATAATCCCGTAAACCTCCAAGTGCCGCAGGGACGAGCTGCACACACGGAAATCCATTGAACAAAGGCGAAGACACAAAGTCTACGCTGAAGAACCTCCAAAGCAAAAGACATCTGCCCTGCAATGGCCGCGTAGGATCTGTCACGGCAGAAAAAGCGTGCGCGCGTTAGGAGCAGCTGTGTTTTGTTTCGTTTCGCAGGGCTCTGGAACCCTGCTTACCGAAACATGTGGTGCAGCACAGATTTGCCTTCGGGCAGCTTCGGGCCGCTTCGGGCAGCATCGGGCAGCATCGGGCAGCTTCGGGCAGCTTCGGGC